GAGTTTGTGTGTTGGTTCTCGTCCTTGCCTCCGATGGGTTCTTTTTCGCCAGGTACTCCGGTTTTCCTCCCTCCCTAAAAACCAAACACTTCCTAAATTAGATCTGGGATACATAAGCGGCCACAGCAGGTTGTGTCAGTCCGCAAGACGTTTTTTTTTTTTTTTTTTTTTTTTTTTTTTTTTTTTTTTTAAAAATTTTTTTTTTTTTTAAGTTATAGTGATACCCTCGTCTAAAACAAAGTCGATTGTATGGCATGTCAATCACGGTCAAGCTGCAGATGCTTGTGTTAGCTGAACTTTGACTTCTTTCTGGTTTTCTCTGATTTAACTTTTTTTAAACAAGAAAGCCGATGCGTAAAGCTCCTACTTAAACTTGTTTTTTTTTGTACAAGTGTGTGTGTTATTTGCTATCCACAGCGTTATCAAGGGTCGATATGAAGCTCCGGGAGACAAGCACGGAGGACTGATGAGTTTTCTGAAACGCGATCATTGTAGATCCAGAAGGAAGAATCAAAGGGTCTGTAGCCTGATCAACATCTCATTTCTCCCTTACAATAATTATTTATATTTAACATAAAAAATTAGCTTTTGAGAAAAGTTTAAACTACAACGTTTCGATGTCGCCATGACATCATTTTCAAGTGATTTAAATAAAAAATTTATATTTCTTTAAAAGTAAGAATTAAATTTCTTTTGAGAAAATAAATTCACCAACTACATGGCACATTATTTTGAAAGTTAAATATTTGCAAAATTAGGTGATTTCACCATTTGTAATTAAAATGGCAATATTTTTTCCAATTTCTTGATTTGGTATTTCTATCAAACGCAGTCAGGGGAACAAGTATTACTAGTTGATGGCGAAATTCCCACCTCGCGAGACTGGACGAGTTTGCGGTGTTTGTTCCCCCGAAGTTGCTAAGCAACCATGATGCATTTGGCTTGCGCGATTGCTTTCGGAGTTACTTGTGAGTGGCTCACGCTAGTTTTTCTGATTGGATCGGAAAACTTTCTTCGAGTGCTTCCCACAGAAGATTGCCAAAAAAACGGCCACTTGTTCCCGACGACCTCGCAACAGAAATTGAATCCATGAGGTTAAATTACAATGGCCAAGAGTCACAACAAACGTAAACAACGCAACGAGCCAATGAGAACTCGAAGGCAAATACCACGTAACCGACGTTCAAGCGCGGGGAAAAGCGCGGTGCGAACCAAGTATAGCGATTGGTTTTGGTTTTGCGATCTGATTGGCTGAATATGTCTGTGGCTGTGCGAGTTTTTTAAAACCATTCACCAGGGGAGAGCGTACATATAATTTTCGAAACCAAAGCAATTCCGCTATTAACTGTCGACACTCAGGATTCTTGGGACAAACCGCTCCGCTGATAGTGGATTCTGGCGATTGGATTGTTGGAGGTAAATTTCCAAGAAGAATCGCGTTTGTCCGCCATTGTCTGTGGTGAATATCGCTAGTTCTGTTGTGCTTTGGATTTCCGGGGGGTACTCCCCTATATATAGCTTATATGGTGTGTGCCGCCCCAAGGGTATGGTTTTTTTTGAGTCCGGTAATTGGTCTGAAAACGGGTATACGATTTTGAACCTTTTGGCTCTCATATTAGGTACGTTTCGCCTGCTTGTCTGAAATAGGATATAGATTTTTGTCATTTTTGGCTCAGAAACTGGGGGAAAATTTTTACGGTGTCCAAGGTCTAAATTGGGCAGGGAAAATCGCATATTTTTGGTCTGAAAACGGGTAAGGGTTTAAAGAAGCAGGGCCGACACAGCCACCCCACTCACACAACTTTCGATGAGTAATTCCCCCCACCGCCTCCCTCCCCCCCCTCCCCCCCCCCCCCCTTCCCAGGGATGTCCGAACAAACTGGCCCACAAGTCAGTTACATATTTTTTATCAACTTCTGTTTTATTCAGGCGCCAGCGGAACTCATAACTTGATGTTACCTAACACCTAAATAATTCGATTTACGATGGTTCCTGTAATCCAGATGCTTCTACAACCTTTGTTTAACGCTTGTAAAACCTTTATTTTTAATTTTTTGGGTGGTTTTTTAAAACAAAACAAAAGAGAATGATATATTCATAGTTATATTTTCAAATTAAGCAGTTGAAAAAGAAGGCCTTGGAGAAAAAATTCAGGCTCCAACGGGATTCGAACCCATGACCTTGTTCCCGATTCCGGTGGAAAACGCTCTACAACTGAGCTATGAAGCCACTGTGGGAGCTGGTCCAAGTTGCGAGTTCTATTTATACCCATCAAGTGGTGAAATGACGATGATAAATATATGAAATAGCCATGACCTTTGGCGACTTCCGGTTGTCAAACCGCTTTATCACTGAGCTATCACGTGATGGAATGACGATGATGAATATTTCCTAGACTATGATTCAAGGATGGAATTTCATCACTTAACAGGTATTCCCAATTGACCAGCTCCGAGCTTCTTTGATAAAGAGAAAGGTGGTCAATGTTGCCTTTGATATTTGTTGTAGCTAAGTGTAATTGTATCTTAATTGGAAGAAATACTTTTGAAGTTTTCCCGGCCTGTAATTGTCAAAGACGAAATGTTAAGCGACCCGCTGATGGCCAGCGTATCGTTCAAGTTTAAAATTTGCTACTGATGAGCTATCCCATAGCATTTCAATTTTCCCAGTGTGTGATATCCTTTCTCGTCTACACCATGGTATACTCCTGTATCCCCAAATCTTACCTGTTTGACTGGAAGTGTTGATTGGTCAGTGAGAAGACCGCTGTCCTCGCGCCATACAGCGTCATTCGTATCACAGTTGCACACCTCACTGGGATTTGCGCACGAGTTGTTCATTCCGCATGCGCACTTTTACTTCCAGGCGAGGCTCCGCCCCAGTACCGCATCTGACTGGAATCACGTGACACCCACCAGCTAAAAGGACGGCTAAATCTTAATACAGAGTCATAACACTCGTATTTAATGAACTGTTCACAGTGTAAGGAGACGTCAGTAAGAGTTGCCAGCTGGGATAGACTCGCTCCCGAGTAGTGAATGCTGTGCCAGTAATCACCTTCACGTTCATATCCATCTACCAATGTTCTGCCTTCGCTGTTGTGACTTATGACTGTCACGCCAATAGCATTCTTATCACTCATGTCACAGTAGACTGTAAATGGTGCCAGCCTCCCTCGCCGTCTGGATCAATGACGTAATTGCCGCTAGAACTGCTGACGTATTTCCGTATCACGGAACAGGAAGCAGCGTTTATTGAAGGCTTAAGGATCTCGGTATGTGCTTCAATGGTTGTCAGAGCATTGGTTGCCCTGCACACGTAGATCTGCCATGTGATTTCGTCACATTTTGAATGACCAGTGTGTTGTTTTTGTAGAATATTGAGTCTACAGGAAGTGACGTCATTCCATCTTTCATCCACATACTGTAGGTTTCAGGTCACTCTCGGCCACACACGGTAGGCGCACAGGAAGCCCAATCAAAGGAGTCAGCTGTTTGGGTGGACGAACTATAAACCACAGACGAGAGAATATCACCAGCTGATGGTACCTATTACTGTCCCCAGAATGTTCTCTGCTTTACATACGTATGTTCCACCGTCTTTTCGTTAACGCGTTGTATATTTTCAAGGCACCATTCCTCACGGCTGTTCTACCAGGTAAACTACCAATGGCTTTAGACCACGTGATAGTAGGTCGCGGCTGACCAGTAGCACTGCAGGCGATGGTGATAGTTTGTTCTTTCCTCAGCCATCAGTCGATTGGAAGACAGTGAAACCCGAGGTGCATCTGTTAAAATATATACAATATTAAATGACCCTGCGTTCTCATTCAAGATAAAAGGCAGCTTTCAAAGGCAGCTTTAAAATTACAACACTCACATTGCACTGTTAATTTTGCTGAAGCGTTCACGCTTCCCAGCAGTTTTCCGCTCTGCAGCTATAAACTCCATCGTCTTCTGGTTTTCAAGTTCTTTATTATCAGAGCGCCACTGGACTCCACCACGTGACGTCCAACCGGAAGTGTCGATTTCACTTTGGACCACGTGACCCGTGGAAGTGGATAACCTTCTGCAGTACATTTCAAGAGTGCTGTTTGCCTTCATTGACCGTCATTCCAGCGGGAGGCTCCCGTAGACGAGGAGCCGAGATAGATATACCCCTCTCGCCCTTCTATCCCTGGGGGCCTCTAGTCCCCGGGGGCCCCGGTGGCCCCGGCACTCCCGGATCTCCCTGTAATCCCATCGGTCCTCGTGATCCCACGGGGCCGTGCTTACCCGGAGATCCCTGGGGTCCAGGTCTCCCCGGTCTTCCACGACCGCCTCGGCGGCCTGGGTTCCCTTTGGACCTGCACGGCATAACACGGTTGGGGGTGGTTGGGGGTGTGTGATCTTTAGCGTCAGATCTGTTGTTCGCCAGTTAGGCGCAGCTCTTGCTCGTACGAGTCTGTTGTACATCCGGGGCGAGCGTTGTGCGGTGAAATTTACCGATGAAGCACTTCGTTTTTGTCTGGAAGCGGCTTTCCCACGTGACCTGAAAAGAAGTAACGCTGTATTTATGCTATAATTCATCGTGGAACTCCACCTAATATTTCGAGCTTCGGCAACTAACGGCGGGCGGGGGGACTCGCCGTAATTTAAAAAGTGACGGGGATACTCGTCGCGGAAGCCCCTAAATGGTACCAGAATCCATGCACAGTGTGCGTGGTTCAAGTTTATTTTTACCTCTAAGAGGAAGCAAATATAGAATCTGTATTGATGAGTGATACATGAAAAGAACTTGTTACATGTCAATTTCATTTCCTGTTTATATTTGCGGCTTCACTTTTGAAGAAACCTACATTGTAAGCCTGATTATCCACATCAGTATGTGGCAATTGTGAACATTTGTAATGGAACTACCCTAAGTGGTAGCCAGAGACACGATTTTAAATCTCTCAAAAGGTACTATAGAGGGCCCCCTCCCCCCTTCCCGTCCCCCGCTGCCTTAGGGGGAGGCTTGGGTTGTTGTTTGGGAACGATATTTTAGCACACTCTTGTCTACTTTGGTGTGTTCTTTTGTCATTTCGTGATCGGCAAATATGGTTTTTATTACAATGATCATTTACTCAAATGAAACGAAAATACAAACAATCAGATGAAAATAATATTTTTCTAATATTCCGACTCGCTGGCTACGAACATAAGATGTATTCTGAGCCCTCGAAGGCAAAAATGGAATAGAAGTTTACAAAACATCATTTGGCAAGGTACTTGAAATGGTTTACCTACTAAACAGTCAGTTTTCAAACAAGACACTCTACAACAAAATTCCCGCGCGGTATGAGAGGCTCCCGTAGAGGCGGAACCAACCACCAAAAAACAAAAAAAAAAAACCCCAAAAAACCCCCCAAAACTGTATAAATGGAAGGAATTCGATGAATTTATGACCCCGATCAAAATTATTCAGTCCAACCTATATATACATCACATAAATGACTTTCATTTCCGCAGATTCAGAGTAAAATTCAGACCCAACTTACCTTTTCCTTCGTTCAAAGTCAGTTTCGTCTTTCTTCCAGACGGTCCATCGTTTGAAATTCTTTTGTACTTTGCGCGAGGATTTCTCCTCTAATCTGATCAGGAAATTGTCGTGGGGTGCGAAAGCAGCCGATGATGTTCTTTGTATCCTGAATTCCACGTGAACAAGTGCAATGCAAACAGGCAATAGACAGCAGTAATGCCGCCACAGGATACAGAAATGGCCGAGCGCTTTTCTGTCTCTCTTTGCCTGAGGAATTTGTTTAATCTTGTTTCATTGTTGACACAGTGGTAATCGGCATTTCGACCCTGTTAAAACGGATTTCAGACGAGAAAACGAGACGATAAATCTTGTTATTTTCGATTGCGATGCTAGCAAAATATTATAATGTGTTCTTTGGTCGTTGTACAGATCTGTACAGGGCCGCGTGTTTTTGCTAAACGTATGGAATTCCTGTATAGAACGTGCTCAGTTCGCCGAACTGGGAGGTTTTATGTTGGATTAAGTATCAGAAAAGGAAAGACATCGTGTAATCTGACTTCTGCAGCCAGTCTGGGTCAACTTTGATAGAAAGGTTTAGATACCACAGCTAAGCAAACCGTCACGGGAAAACGACTTTTTAGATCGAAATTTTAATTAAGATTATCGGAGAGTTTAGTTTTTCTAGCATTTGTTGGATAGAGATTACGAGGCTTTTTCATTATAGTCTTTTGAATCCAGCCCAGCCCCAGTTTTCGTTGTGGCAGATGCTCGTAGATTATGCATAAAAAAATAAACAAAGCGTTTATGGTTATACAATTGTGTGTTTTGGTTGTTTTGCCAACATTATACCAAAGTTGGGAGCAACTCCAAGCGAACGATTTCGCGCTTTGTCTGGTGCACGTTGGAAAGTCGTTAAAACGCAGATCTACTGGATCTATTCATCGCTTAGGCCCTAGTTCTTGTTACTCCCCTTTATAAGCTATATCTAGGTATGTGCCGCCCCAAAGGGTTATGGTTTTTGAGCCGTTTGGTGAGAAAAAACGGGTAGAACATTTTGAACATTTTGGTTTCAAATGAGGTATGTTTTGCCTACCTGTCTCAAATAGGGTATTTTGGTTTGAAAAGGGGGAATTTTTTAAGGGTCCAGATTACCCTGGGTGCCAGAGGCTTTTCTGTGTCGGTTTTTTCCGGTTTCCATTATGGCCGATCCCGACGAGACGCGAGAAATAAACCATCTGGTACCCAGGGTAGGGTCAGCTCTGAAATTGCGGAAAATCGACATATTTTGCGATCTGAACAACGGGTAAGGGTTTTAAAGAAGCGGGCGGCACCCCCCCCCCCGCCCCCACCCCCCAAATTTTCGAGGAGTCCCCCCCGGAATGTCGAGCAAATTGCCCAAATATTCCCTCATAGGCTTCACCAAGAGAACACAAGCTGAACGTATGATCTTAAAAGGTTCTTATCCTTTTGTTCTGTTTTGTAACTTTGCAGGAGAGTGAATACAGAGCTTTGCATTGAAACTGCAGAGATGCGGATTTGTTAATCTTTGGAAGGAATGGGCCGGTAACAGACCTTGGGCTTTTTCATATTTTGCACGTTTGAAAACTTGCCTGTTTTTTAATTTTATTCCCTCTTTTCAGCGGCCCAATTCTTCCCCGCTCAAGAGACGTATGAGATTCGACGACCGAAAAATTCCATACTGATGATGTAGCCCCGCCCCCAAAAAAGCT